GCCTTGCACGTGAGAGGCACAGTGGAGGTGGAGTTCAAAGAAGAATGAGAAATTTAATGGTTTCAATCTGCCCTTGTTTTTTCTTTTTGTTTTTTCTTTTTTTTTATTTTTGCATGTTATCACTGTGCCCGTTTTTTGCTTTTATTCTTTGTTCCGCAAAGTGCGCTCTTTTAGTTTGTAGTGATGTGACAATATATAGGTTCAGCCTCCTGATGAGTCGGTGAAACTCCGACGAAACAGTTTGTCACAGCCCCTCGTTTGTTGTCCTCTTCTCTCTCTCTGCCTACGGTTTACCGGGCAGTTCTGTTTGTGACGATATATATATCCTGATGAGTCGGTGAAACTTCGTCGAAACAGTTTGTCACAGCCCGTTGTTTGTTCTCCTCTTCTCCCTCTCTGCATACGGTTTACAGGGCAGCTCTGTTTGACGTTACATTTGATGGGGTGTGAACCGGCAGTCTGTAGAGTTTTCCATCGGGTGTGGGTGAGGGATAGTCTGCTTTGATTCTCGTCACGGGTACATTGAGGACAGTGGTTGGGGCCCACCTCTCTCAGGGTATCGGTTGTCGCGACTTGTTGGGCAGTGGTTGATGCTTAACCACAACCGGAGTTAAGGTGGATTATCACGTACAGTGTAGTCAGTTTGGGGATTCTGCAGATTGTTGAGGGTTCAGCCTCCGGATGAGTCGCTGAAACTCGGACGAAACAGTTTGTCACAGCCCCTCTGTTTGACTATATATATATCGTCAATTTAACAGAGCTGCCCGGTAAACTGTAGGCAGAGAGGGAGAAGAGGACAACATATATAAACTGGGTTCAGTGTCCCTTCAGACGCAAACTTCAAGAAAAGAAAAACTGGACGAGAAACACCAGACAACCAAGACACCGAAGAGCAGATAGTCCTGGAGCGAGATCCCACTAGCCATGTATGTGGATTAGTGTGACGGGTGTGGGACGGGTGGGGGACAGGTGGGTGGCAGTGTGAAATAGCTGTGTGTCCATTCAACGGGCAACGGGTTTTGTACAACGCCGTTGTACCCGTTGAACACCCCCGGGGTCCCCGTTGAATCCCCGTTGAACGGTAGAACGGGGGCTTCCCGTTGAATTCCGATCAACGGGTCGGGCGCAATGGGGCTCGGACACGTGGCGGGACACGCGTGGAATAAAAAAAAAGTAAAAAAACTACCCTCTGTGTGTGTGTGTGTGTGTGTGTGTGTGTGTGTGTGTGTGTGTGTGTGTGTGTGTGTGTG